GGAGAAGTCCTGTGATCTTCCAGAGCATTTCGCAGTATCTCATCTCTTCTACTGTAATGGTCTATCTTACATTAAAATTAGTTGTGTCAATTTTATCGCCTGTTCTAGGTTATAAATTCTTTTCAGTCAGGGAACAAGTCTTGTAGTCATATTGGTTGGATTAAAGCATAATCCCCTGGAGATCTGGGGGGGGGATGGAGGGGGCTGGTCTGTGATCTTCCAGAGCATTTCGCAGTATCTCATCTCTTCTACTGTAATGGTCTATCTTACATTAAAATTAGTTGTGTCAATTTTATCGCCTGTTCTAGGTTATAAATTCTTTTCAGTCAGGGAACAAGTCTTGTAGTCATATTGGTTGGATTAAAGCATAATCCCCTGGAGATCTGGGGGGGGGATGGAGGGGGCTGGTGGAAGCTATCAGAGAAGGGATCCCCCCCCCCCTCATCTTTTCTGCACTTCTAGAGAAGCATTGTTGTACTGCTTGGCTGGAAGAACAAAGATGAGTGAACAATGACCAGATGACTAAGTGGGAAGGGTACTTTATTTATTAGAATTTCTGAATTTCTAAATTGTATATTAAAAAAAAAAATCCTCACCTGAAAATATGTTTTTATTGATTTTAGAACAGGAGGGTGGAGGATAACATCGGTGTGAGAGAAAAACATCGATTGGTTGCCTCCCATATGCTCCCTGACCAGAGATCGCACCCCCAACCTTTTTTGATGTACTGGATGATGCTCCAGCCAATTGAGACATCCAGCCAGGGCTAAATTGTACATTTTTAAGATTTCGTTTCTCTGGCGTTTTTACCATTGTCACTTTTTTCTTAAGACCACTTTTAAGAGTATAAAAGAAACATCATCTTATATTTGCAGAGCACATTCTCATCTCATTTGAACACATTTAAGATGAGGAATGTTAGGTTCAGAAAGTTCAGTAACTCACCATGATCTGAGGCAGGACTAGTTGTTTTTCTTTCTCACTTAGCAAATTTGGGAACAGCGTTGCCTCTGCCTTCCTGGCAAAGTTGTTACAAGGTTTAAAGATAGTGGTGTGAGTGTGAGTGTGAGTGTGTGTGTGTGTGTGTGTTGCATTTAGTAGATTCCCCATGAATTATGCTTCCAGAGAACACAGAGCATTTTGCATCAAAACAGTATCCTGGAGTTCTTTGAGGTACTTTTCAGTTTGGGATTTATGTGTTAGTTGTACTTTGTGACTCTACTCACAAAGTATCACTGACTTAAATTTTTCTTTATTTTCTATTCCTAATTCCTGACATAGCCACATGGTCATGACCTGATAGTAAAAAATTATTGAGGAGCATTGAGTTTGGTTTTCATTTAATATGTTTGTGTTCTTTTTCATTAACAGTCTCTGATATTTGATGAAGTTGACCTCTCAGATGCCAGTGTAGCTGAAGCAAGCACAAAAAATGCTAACAACAGTTTCACGGTATGATTATATTTTGCTCACTCCCTACTCCGAAATTATAAATGACCTTTCCTAACATATAAAGAATGCCCTTTTCAATTGCCAGTTGTATGTCAACCTATGCTTGTTGGAGCTCTTTGCTAACACAATAAGCTTGATACTCTAACACCCAACACCATTCACGATGGTAATGTTATTGATTTAAATTTTCCACCTCCTTTCAATTTAATGCTTCAACTAATGTAATCATTCTTGAATATTCAAAAATTTTGGTTTTCACCTTCAATCTCAAAAATAATATTTTCCCCTTCTACTTTTACTCTAGTTGCTGTAGTTCGGGTCTTTATTTCTTCTCACTTAGGAAATTCACTTGGTAGCTATTTAAGAGGTGTCCTCTGTCCATTTAATTCTTTTCCTTTCCAATCGCAAATCCCATTGTTTTAAACATTTCACTGGCTTGCCATCGCCTGCCAAGCTGCATCTCTGGCTCCATTTTAAAGTCTTATAAAACCGTGCCTCAGTATTCTCGTGTTGGTGGTGATATTTGACTTCATGCACCCTGCCAGTCCAGCATTCCTGTCTGAGCCTGTGCTTTGCCTATTCTCTCTGACTCACATGATTCCTCCTCCATCTGTACTTGTTGAAATTCTATCAGTTCTTTAAAGCTTATCTCAGATATCCCATTCTTCTTCTACTTTTTTGATTCAAAGAAAGGAATGGAGTACCCTGCATTGAGTACTATGTGCAGGCTCCTGTGCTAATACGCACAAGAGCTTCAGAGATGGACGGATGGATAAATAAATGAATACATACATATCACTTCCCTTTAAGATACAATATAATTCAGCGGAGTTCATCTGGGGTTCCTTTTAGTTCCTCTAAGATGCATTGCTCTCATTACGAGTTGTCCTCACTCACATTCCCAGTCCCTGCTCTAGGGAGCCATCACTGCCGACAGCAGTGTGTGTTCATTCATCCCCTAGGCAGGCCAGGGCAGGGAGGACAGACAGGTAAGCAGGTACTGAGCAGGTAAGCACTGGTAGGGCTGGGGGTGGGGGAGGAAGCACATAGGTTCAGATTTCGTCTTATTGATTTATGGGTATGTTGGATAATGCATGGTGTAAATAGGCCTTCCCCCTCTCCCTCCCCCCTCCCTAGGGAGAGTTTAGTTTGAGAAGAGGAAAGCCAAGAATAGAATCCTGGGAAAATGTTAAAATTTAAGGTTTAACCAATAAAGACTGAGAGAGAGCATTCTGAAGTCTAGAAGGAGCATCAGGAGGCAGTGATGTTATAAAAAGCCGGTGGAAGAGAGTTTCAAGACGGAAGTTGCTAAACATCAAATACAGTTGAGAGGTCAAGTCAAAGAAGAAATGAAAATTGCTTGTTGAATTTGTTAGCTCAGAGGTCATTTGGTCATATTGATGCGAATAGTTTTGTAGAGTCTGGCATGCATCAGGCTGCCCCGAGAATGCAACGTGGAAAGGCAGAGGGAGCCAGGGTAGGTTACATTTCCTAAAAACTGGGCTTTTAAAGGAGAACAAAGATAGCTAGAAGAATGGTCAAGCTTGAAGAGAGAGTTTTGGTTTTGTTGTTCTTTTACTTTGTTTTTAAAATGGGTTTTGGGCGTGTCTGAATGAAGAGGGAAGAGTTGTCAGAATCAAAAGTTGAAGCTTCAGGAAAGAGAGGGAATAACTGATGGACATGGTTGCTGAGTAAGCCGAAGAGTATTTTCTTTAAGATGGGGCTGGAGAACAGCTAAATTGATCCGCGGTTGATGGTTTTAGGGAATGTTGAACAGAAAGAGAAAGGGATTGATTGTTGCATATTTGGGGGATTAATAACTCATCCATCTGCCCCTTCTGAGTTCTCGGATTTTGAGAATGAAACACAAATGTTAAGGGACAGAGTTCAATGGCCGAACAGGTTCCAGAGATTCTGATAAATTACAGAAATTCTGATAAATTGTTTGGAGACCCAAGGCCAACATGTTGTTTATTCTTCTTTCCTCCCAAGTGAAGGCAGGGTAGGGTGATCAGCCAATCAGATTAACTACTTGCCTCCTCCTCCGGGAGTCTCCCCTCTATGGAGACTCATGGGGGAGGGGGAGGTAAGGATTTCCTCACAATAGGGAGGTAGAGTTTAGTCTGAAAGAGGGTTCCAACATTTAAGATGTGAAGGATGGAATAATTTCAGGTGTAGGATATTGGAGTAGATAAAGGAAAAGGGAACTGAGAAGCTTGGGTTTGGGAGAGGTTATTCAAATCTGAGTTCTTTCTTGGATCTCCAGCTGCATTGCAGTTTCTTCTATTGTACCTTTCTTGTAGAGCTTATTATATGCGGCCTTATGTTGAGTTAAATACTTACTATGTTTATTATAACCTCCTTGAGGCCAGGGACCCTATCAGATATTTTTACCTCATATCACTGTACCCATTAGTATTTGTTGATTTAATTAATAAAATGAAAGTTTATTTTAGACATGAGAAGACTTTTTGTTCAAATATTTTCAAGGAATTTCTTCACTCACTCAAATATTATTTCTGAAGTTTGTTTGGATTAGAAATGTGGAGACTAAAATGTTAGGTAGATTGCTTAGAGTTTTACAGCAAATAAATTTGGAAGAACTTTCCAGGGCATATAAAGAAACAAGAGAGATGTTTTCTATCAGTAATTGACAATGCTTCCTATCTTTAAATACTTAAATATTCCACCTTACTCTGGATTACAGTGACTGCTATTGAGGCTGCTATTTGGGCTGGTTCACGTCAGAGTTTAATGGTGGAGTTGGTGGTGTGATGGCTGGGGAATCTACGGATGGCCAAGTTCTGCTTCTCTGCAGCCACTTCTCTCCTTGAAGTCCCTAAGGATGATATATTTACAAGGGAAAACCTGTAATTAGTAAATGGAACGTGGAAAAGCTGTGCTTCTCCTGAAAACCTAGTACCAATCTCTCTAGTAAAGTGGGTTCTAGAAGTGAGTGTTGCAGGGAGTTGGACAGAAACTGAGTTAACTGAGGAAGTCACTCAGCATCATTTCTGCTGCATTCGATAGGCTATGCGCGAGTCACCAAGGCTGGCTGCGCTGTGGGGAGGGGACATTACACACATGAGAGTCATGTCAAAGGATTTGCTGACATGGTGAAAACCTACCTACATAATCATTACTTTTCTTTTCTTGCTCAGTTCAGTACTCCCATCCCTGGAGTCCATAACTTTGTTTTTTGTTTTGGTTATCTAAATCACCTCAGATACTATATTAGTTTTCTGTTGCTCTGTATCAAATTACCATAAACTTTATGGCTTAAAATACTACCAGTTTATTATCTCATAGTTTTGTGTGCTTTTTTAAATCCTCACTGAGGATATGTTTTTATTGATTTTTTTTTAAAAAGGAAAGAGGGGGGTGGGGTGTGAGGGGGAGAGAAGCATTGATGTGAGAGCAAAACATCCATCGGTTGCCTCCCCAGCTGGGGATTGAACATGCAGCCTAGGTACGTGCCCTGGCTAGCAATCGAACCTTTTAGTGTAGAGGACAATGCTCCAACTAACTGAGCCACCCAACCAGGGCTATGTCACAGTTTTTGTGGGTCACAGCATAGTTGGGTTCCTCTGTTCCAAGTCTCACAATGTTGAAATATAATATATATGTGTTGAAATATATATTTACATTAAATAGGGCTAATTTTGACCAAGATTTGAGTTTGTGATTTTGTAACTGTCTTCTGCAATAGGCAACAACCATGACAACAACATTTTCTGTGAGAATAGGAGACAGTGATGTGATGGGGAATGGAAAAGGACAATCCTGGACAGACTTTTTACATTTGTTCCTCTTTTTTCTCCCCATAGCTCCACTCCACCCAGTTCCCACCCCACCCTCCTCCCTCACTCCCCACCCACTGTCCTCATTCATAGGGGCACAATTATTGTCCAGTCCCTTCCCGCATCCCCCTCACCCCTTTCCCGCCAAAGGATAGCCAGTCCACTCCCTTTCTATGCCCCTGATTCTATCATAATCACCAGTTCATTCTGTTCATCAGATTATTCACTTGATTTTCAGATTCACTTGTTGATAGATGTGTATTTGTTGTTCATAATTTGTATTTTACCTTTTTCCTCTTCTTCCTCTTCTTACAG